GGGGAGAAAAATTGTCTGGCACGAAAAAGCGAACCAACAGCTGACCTCTAATGGTTATGTTTTCCGTCCTGTGCTGATCACATTCGCCTTTCCATCTGAAAGTCCTGGAAACAACGTTTATTAAAACAAGACAACCACCACTGCGTAAAAAAGGGAGCAGTTGTGTTGCCTTTATATGATCTGAAAAAGTATAGTCGTTTCAATATTGTATTCTATTTCGTCTTCATGTAGTTATCTTTTTAATCAGTCAGTAGATGGACATATCCAAATCTCCATTTCATGTTTGAGGAATTATCCCGCACCCAACTGTAGTTCAGAATTGTCTGTTTATCCGACATTTCTATGGTAACGGATCAATTGTTTTTGCTTCAAGAAATATCTTATTTTGTCAGTAGAGTTATAATGTTATTATTATTTCAAATTCTCATAAAATCATTCCGTTTAAAATTACCTTAAAATTATATTATTGTTAATCATTTAAGCTGCGTTCACGTAATTTTCCCCGGATCTACAACAATTTATTAATTACTTGGTTGTTAGCAAAAAAGACAACCCTAGCTGTGATCTATATATTGAGATCGGCAAGATGAATCAATCAGAATATGTTAATCATTAATTAATCATAGCTATGGATCGTAAGCTCATTAACGAATGAGATAAACTTCAAATATATATATATATATATATATATATATATATATACTTATTAATTATATTAATGGTCAGTATACATATATATATATATATATATATATATATATATATATATATATAGAAGTCAACATAGAGGCGACAGTCTGTTTCATGCTAGACGCAATCGTCTCTAGCATGAAACAGACTGTTGCCTCTCAGTGTTGACTTCAATGTTCACTTTATATTTACACACGCTCTATCTCTGATATTGAGCACTTTATCCCATAAATATAGCACACCTTAAGACTATATTTCTTCATATATATATATATATATATATATATATATATATATATATATATATATACAAATTCCCAGAAGGATAAAATCCAGGTAGAACTCAATGTCCAGTACAGAGTAAGAATATAATATAAAAGGCTCACACACTAATAGTCAATGGTTATAATTTATTACATTGGAATCGTAATGACGATCAATTCATCAGACCTACAAATTCAAAAAAACTACTTATTAAAGATGATCTTCGCCCTCTCTAACCTTCTAATTTTCTGCCCTGGAGTAACAACGTGCCTTACAAACTCCCGTCTCATATGTCAAATGTCTTATGTATTGAGTTGGATCTTTTCTAATTGCTCTCTTTAGTTCTACGCTGAAATGATGATCCCTCTTCATGTTGGGACCTCTTGATCCAGTTTTCCTTTTTGCGGTTCCCTCTTTTTTAAATCTTATTCACCGTTCTCTTGATGGTTCTTAAACAGATTTGGAAGATGGAATCCAGAGTATGAATGTTGGCACTGAAATTGTTGATGACCATATGTGCCAAATTTTTTGAGATCTCGATTTCAAGGTTCTTGTATTTTGATAGTTTTGCGAAGATCTTCAAAGATACATTGCTAACAGAATTATAATTTATTATAATTATTTCAAATTCTTATAAAATCATTTTATTTGAAATTACCTTAAAGGATATTATTGTTAATCATTTAACCAGTGCTCACGTAATTTTTCCCGGATCTACAGCAATTTATTAATTAATTGTTAGCCAAAAAGACAACCCTAGCCGTGATCTACATATTGGGATCGTCAAAATGAAACAGGCGCATAAGTTTAATTCTCTGTACAGCGAGTCTTCAACCTGTTTCTGGAGAGAATTACCCAGGTGACCCGCGACGACCACAAAACTTTTATCTCTATCGGTGTTGCATCTGTCTTTAACCTGCGTTTCGCAGACTATATAGAACTTATGGCGTGCAATAAGGGTAAGCGGTAAGTCCTGAACAACGAACTCGTTGAGAGAGCCGGCGCATATGGAACTGAATTCAACACAAAGAAATTTAAACTAATAGAGAATAACGCAAGAAATAGTGTCAGTGTCACGACTGACGCCAAAAAGTAGCCCGCTTCAAACACTTGGAATTAACCCTGACAGAAGATGGTCACCTGCAACGCTGAAATCCACACCCAGATGACCACAGCCATAGCAGCGATGGCTTGATCGGATATGGAAGCGCAACATCAGTCTCTATACCAAGTTCGTGCTCTACATATCGCTCATCGTATCCATTTTTCTCAACGAGTGTGAAACTTAGGCACACCTGCTTGAGACAGGGAAAAGGATCCAGACATTCGAGAGGAAAGGCTTGAGAAAGCTCCCCCGTGTCAATTACTGGGAGAACAAAACTAATGACTATCTACGCAGCAAGGTCAAAAGACTCGTAGGTCGACAGGAATCTCTTCTCACTCCTATTAAATGTCAGAAGATGGCATGGTTTGGCTACGTTACACGGCATAACAGCCTCTGCAAGACCATCATATATTAATATTATTATTATTATTATTATTATTATTATTATTACAGGATCATTTTATAATTTATTATCTAACCTTCTAATATTCTGTCCTGGAATAACGAGGTGGCTTACAGGTTTCACGTACGATCTAATTTTCAAGTCTTTTTTCAATGCCTTTTGGACTCTCATAGCTGAAACTCATCTCTCACGTGGCAAACGTTTTATGGATTGAGTTGGATCTTTTCCAGTTGATCTCTTTAGCTCTAAGTTGAAATGATGATCCCTCTTCCTGATCCAGTTTACCTTTCTACTGTTCCCTCTTTGTTAAAATTATTCTCCGTTCTCTTGATGGCTCATGAATGAACTTTGAAAATGGAAGCCAGAGTACCAATGTCGGAGCCACTACTTAGGGGCTAAATGGTCTTTTTCATCTCATCATTGTTCAGTTGGAAAGACACAAGATGATTTTAACCTGTTCTTTCTCGAGCTGAATAACTCAAAGGGTTTTCTCAGGGATTCTTACAATAAATGGTGTAAATGGGGCTAAACGTCTTATCTGAAAACCTTAAAAAAAAAGAAACCTAATTAGTTTAATGGTTAAACATTTTGTGGGATGGTCAATTATTACATGCTGTTACACACTTTGGACAATTTTGGTGCTACACCCACACACACACACACACACACACACACACACACACACACACACACATATATATATATATATATATATATATATATATATATATATATATATATATATATATATATATATATATAATATTATCTATATATATAGTATAATATATAATGTTATCTATATATAATATAATATATATATATATATATATATATATATATATATATATATATATATATATATATATATACATGACTTTTTTATTCTCACTTCCATTGTTTTTAATCTTTTTACATGTGGATGAGAATATCATATGGAGTCTGGTAGGTTTTCATGTCTGTTTAAATGAGTCATAATTGAGGTATGGTCAGAGAGGTGGAGTCTTCGTGATCGTCAAGCAATTGTATCTTCATTATAATTATTCATGAATTTGGTTTGATTAGGAAGGCAATCTCTTAAGAGCAAAATATCTAACATTCATACCGCTTTTATAAATATACAGCCCACTCCAACATTATTGGAACAGCAAGGCCAATTCCTTTATTTGAAATTTGTTTTTTAGAGTGTACTTCTGGAACTGGTTCATTCCTATTTATTGATGATATAACTCATGATGGTAGCAGCAGAATAAATAAAAATTCAGAAGTATGGATATTGGAGCCATTACTTAGGGTCTAAATGGTCTTTTTCGTCGCATCATTAAAAACAATGGAAGTGAGAATAAAGTCATGTGTATATAGAAATATTTTTACCACTTTACTGAAAAATGCATCAAAGCTTATTGGGAAGAAGTTTATTATGCAGCAAGACAATGACACCAAAATATTTCCAAAATCACAAAGGACTTCGTCGGGGGAGAAAGGTGGACAGTTTAAGAGTGGCCAAGACAATCAATGGATCTTTACCCACTATAGCATGCATTTCATCTCCTGAAGAGGAGACTGAATGAAACCAACCTGTGAAACAAAAAAGAACTGAAAGATACTGCGTTAAAAATCCGGAAAAGAATCACAAATGAAGAATGCAACAGCTTGGTGATGTTCATCTATCACAGGCTTGGTGCAGTTATTGCAAGCAACGGTTATGCAACCAAATATTAAAGATGATTTACTTTAGGACTATCTGTTCCTTTTACTTTAGTTCACCTAAATATAGGGGGATCTGATACAAAATATGGTATGTCCTAAGCTGTTTAACACGTCTAAATGTAAATACCAGGAAATAAAAGCTAAAATTGTGAACACTTGTCTCAAATTCATTTTTTTTATTTCACACCCAAATGTCTTCAGGGAGTAACAAAAACAAAGGAATTGGTCATACCCTTCCAATACTTTTGAAGGGACTTTACACACACACACACACACACACACACACACATATATATATATATATATATATATATATATATATATATATATATATGGTGGTAGTCGTTGAAAAAAACCTCGGATAGCTCAACTTGCAGTAGAACAAATCGATACCTGAGGAAAATGGGGAATAAAAAAAAGAAAGAACCAAGAACAATAAACAAAGGCGAAAACAATTGTCCAGTGCTTAATCTCCAAGTCCAAAGAAGAAAAAAAACAAAACGAGTAAAAAAGACAACCACGTAAATTTCTCAATATATTAAGTAGAGAAAACCTAAGATGATCCTAAGGAGCCAGGAAAACCTACCTACTTTTCACCTCAACGGATCTTCAGGGAAGCTGGACTCTTAGGATTATCTCATATATATATATATATATATATATATATATATATATATATATATATATATATATATATATATAGAGAGAGAGAGAGAGAGAGAGATAGATAGATAGATAGATAGATAGATAGATAGATAGATAGATAGATAGATAGATAGAAACATACTGAGATAACTAGCTAGCTAGCTAGCTAGCTAGCTAGCTAACTAGATAGATAGATAGATAGATAGATAGATAGATAGATAGATAGATAGAAACATACTGAGATAGCTAGCTAGCTAGCTAGCTAGATAGATAGATAGATAGAAACATACTGAGCTAGCTAGCTAGCTAGCTAGATAGATAGATAGATACAGATTTAGATAGATAGATAGATAGATAGATAGATAGAAACAGACTGAGATAGCTAGCTAGATAGATAGATAGATAAAAACAGACTGAGCTAGCTAGCTAGCTAGATAGATAGATAGATAGAAACAGACTTAGATAGATAGATAGATAGATAGATAGATAGATAGATAGTGAGCATACCGAGATAGATAGATAGATAGATAGATAGATAGATAGATAGATAGATAGATAGATAGTGAGCATACCGAGATAGATAGATAGATAGAAACAGACTTAGATAGATAGATAGATAGATAGATAGATAGATAGATAGATAGATAGATAGATAGATAGATAGTGAGCATACCGAGATAGATAGATAGATAGATAGATAGATAGATAGATAGATAGATAGATAGATAGATAGATAGATAGATTCTACTAGGTTGGTAGGAAGCAACGGAAAAGATATAGTTTCTTAAATAGGAACTAAACCGACATGATCCTAGAAATGGAACTTGTGGCATCTATGTTTCAGAATGTCGATGAAGTGAATAATTTCAAAGAAGCCACAGAAAAAAAAGAGTGCTTGAATGCATTTGCAACAGACCCCTTTCGAAAAAGAACTTACATAATTTTTAATATTAAAAAAAAAGAGCTACATCGTGTAATTCTGTTAGTCTATGGAGTAAGTGCACGGAGCTGTAGCGACGGGCGCATGCGCATATAAATATAAGACAGGCAACAATCAATACCCGCTAACGTCGACACGTATCAATCTTGTGGTTGGTGTCCATTATTTTCGGGAATATAAATATGAACAAACTACTGCATGGTACATGGTTTTCTTGCAAACAAGAAAAATACGTTATATAAACCATGTAATTATCGGAAGAATTATTTCTAGAGAGATATTTTTCACTTTCGTTTTTTTTTTCGGAATTTACGCATATAGACAAATATATATATATATATATATATATATATATATATATATATATATAGAGAGAGAGAGAGAGAGAGAGAGAGAGAGAGAGAGGCAGGAAGAGGTCCATTATGAGAAAACTGTCCTTTCTTAAAAAGTAATACTAACTTCACCAATATCGTAGAAATCTAAAAACATTATCTAATTTCTATTTTTTTAAAATCATTTTACCACAGGCAAAGTAATAAAGCCCCTAAGGCGTAAGAAATTACTACGTAAACAGTAAAAGAACAAGAATTACGAAGACAGTAGTTAACAATTGACATTGCATTTAAATTTTTGAAGATCAAAGTTTGCTGGCAAGCAAAATACCGGAAGAGAGATTCATAATCGAGAATTCCGAAAGAAGAAACAGTTAACATAGAACTTACGGTAACTGTCGATATAATATTGTTCTTATATTCGGGAATTCGAGATACGAAAAGGGAAAGTTCATCAGAACAATTGCCATGAATGTGTTTATATAAAAGGCACAGCAAAGCAACATTACAGTGATGAGAATGAAAGTGAAGCCGAGATGCCAAGTTGGACCCATAAAAATGCAGATTCTTCTGTTGCATTCTTCTTGCATTATTCTTTTGCATTTTAACAAGATTTTGCATTCGTTTTCTTTTTCCCTACAACATGTTTGACAAGACTCACACTACATGATTCTGATCATAGCTCAATTAGGTCTCATTTAAATACTCCTGCCGGAACCTATTCGTAACATACTTATTGATAACACAAATGTAATAGCATCGTCTACATGTAAAAAAAAAAAAGGCTAAAAATAATGGGAGCCTTATTAATAAAAAAAACAACACTCAATAATATCAACTATGAACATGGACACAATATCTTGACCGTGTTTTGAAAACTGAAAACGTTATATAAATACATACATGCAACAAACTATTTTTTATTTAACAGTTTTTGAAAATGGCTAAATGTGTAAGAGAAAAAACTCGGGAAAAAGAAAATTGGACGGTTTTTTTTATATAATTTATTTAAAGAAAAGACAAAATTATAAGATCACATGAGAAATCGTCTAACAAAATAAAACAAAGCACCTTGTCTGTTATATTCAAGAAAACGTACATGAAAATACTGCTGCCAAAAAATACATATATATATATATATATATATATATATATATATATATTTAAGTGACGAATATCTTGGTAATCCGTATGGATAATCCCAAAGAGGATGAAATCCTGAGAGCTCAATGTTAAGTCAGAGCGAATAATTTAATTTAAAGAAAAACAGACCACTTTAAAGCTCTATCTGTAATAATTTATTTCACCAGAGAATATTATTTTTCTCTGGATCTTCAGACTTCACTTTCAAAAGGTGAAACGAAAAATGAATTTAAAAAAGGTACCTCCACTTTTTTCGCGGGAAAACATTTAGCGTAATGAAAAAGGCCACAATCTTAACGAAAATAAAGTTTTATCGTCAAAATATTTATGTTATTATTAAGATGAAAGACCAAAGTATATTTTAATTATTTTTTGAAGTTTTTTAATCCTTTCTAACAGGACCAATCGTTAATAATTGGTTGTATATTACTTTTTTTTATTGTATAAGTAAGTAATATTTCTTTCAATTCAGATTAATTTAACTTTACATTTTCTAATTTTACTAAAATAACGTGTCAGAAATATTTTTAAATATTTTTAAAATCGATAAATTTTTGTTTGTTTACAAATTTCTTAAAATTAAGAAAATGGCCGTTTTTAAGAATATTTAAGAAATCAAAATTAAATTTGACATTCCAATGTATATAGTTACTATCTGAAATACACCAGAATTGTTTACTTAATGGAAATAATAAATTTAAATATTAAACTTTCAATTAAAGCTAAAATGAAATATTCAAGAATGTTTTTTCATTTTAAAAAATTCTTTTTATACTTAGGTATCGAAAATGTATGCCGAAAAAGTGGAGGTTCCTAATTTAAAATTGACGGGCAGCATTAAGATCCGATTCATCAGACCTACAAATTCAAAAAGCTTTTTGAATTTGTAGGTCTGATGAATTGGATCATGATTACGATTCCAATGAAATAAATTAAAACCATGGAATATTAGTGTTTGATCCTTTTATATTATAGTCTTACTCTGTCCTGGACATTGATTTCTACATGGATTCTTTCCCCTTGGGAATTTATATATATATATGTATATATATATATAACGTCATCCACAGACAGACTGTTTCGCAGCTCATCAGTGTGGCTACACATCCGGTTGCCTCTAGCAAGGATCGAAACCTGACTGTCAGTCGGAGATTCTAACCATTAAGCCGTCGGCGCACGGTAGGGATGAGGGCGGATTTTAGCGTATTTTCATATATATATATATATATATATATATATATATATATATATATATATATATATATATATATATATATATATATATATATATATACATTGAACACTAATATTATCTATCTATCTATCTATCTACCTATATATATATATATATATATATATATGTGTGTGTGTGTGTGTGTATGTATATATATATATATATATATATATATATATATTGAGAGAGAGAGAGAGAGAAAGAGTTTCCACTAATTGGGTATAAGTAAGGTTTAAAATTAATTTCTGAAAGCGAAAGAATTTAAAATTTGCCATATCCAGTCAGCAAAATACTCTTTGGTTTATTTCAAACAGAAATTATATTGATTAGAATCGATTTTTTTCGGTAAAATCGATAAAAATCGTTCGTTTCAGATAAAATTGTTTTTAAAACCTTGCAAAAATAAAATACATGTTTCTGAAACGTTAATTGAGTAAAATTAACAATTTTCAAGTGAATTAATCTGATTTTTCGGTTTTAATCGATTGATTGAGAGCTGAATGACCGCTAAACGTGTTCATAGTTAAGTATGTTGAAGTAGACGATAGATTTTATGAGGTTTTTTTCCGGGATTAGGGAAAAGATAAAAGGTGGGAGTAAAGAGAAAAGAGATGTACTCTCGCTCTCTCTCTCTCTCTCTCTCTCTATATATATATATATATATATATATATGTGTGTGTGTGTGTGTGTAGATATATATATATATATATATATATATATATATATATATATAAGAAATGGACAAAGTCCGACAATTTATTTATTAAAGACATTTTTATGTTTAACGTTTTTTTTTATAGATAGAAGTATTTAAGTAAATTCTCTGTTTATAATAAACAGTATTAAATAACATTTACCGGCCTGAATGTCCGAGAATTTTTCATAGAAAATATTCGTCCTTTGACAGGATTCGAACATGCATCCTAAACGGAACCATGATTTACGCTGACGTGCCTTAACCGACTCGGCTACAAAGGAGCGTAAATTCGACCTTGCCTACCGAAAGTCTTCCGTGGCACCCCTCCACTCGATGGTCAAAATTTTTGATGACGTCTCTGCATAGTTGCTCCTCCAAATCACCAAAATGCCTTATTATTCCGTCTTTCAACTGTTGAATTGTTGTTGGCTTGTTGGCATAGACCTTACTTTTGAAGAAATATAAAGGCATCAATTGGTGGCCAATTGACTTTGCTGTTTCAATCGATGATGATACCTGGGAACTTCTCATTCAAATTCTGTTTGTACATCCATTTTCGTAATAAGCTTCGATAACTTTAACAACACGTTATTTGATTGTTAATCTTTCCTTGGCTGAAACGTCCACTTAATAAAAACAAAAAACCAACACTCAATAATATCAACTATGAACATGGACAAAATGTCTTGACCGTGTTTTTAAAGTGAAAACATTATATAAATACATACATGCAACAAACTGCTGTGGCCTTGTTTGGGCCAGAAATAAAGACACAAAGAGAGAAATTGAGTTAAACAAATAGATTAACAGAAACAGTAATCCAAACATATACAAACATACAAACGAGAATATTCGGTCCGCCTGTCAGAGCTGACTGCTGGAAGCTACCA